TGCGATAATTCGGTTACATACCGATATCACCACTCCAGCGTACATCAATGGGCACTCACAGAAAATTAGGGATCTATGTGAGGAATATCAATTTATCCGTCAATCAAAATTATTCATAGCCCGTATGCTGATTGCATCAGCAATAAGGATATTTTCCGGCATTAGGGGGAGATAAGTACCACAAAGAATTCCGAGAAATAAATTAGAAATGTTATTGACATTCAATCCTTATATCCACATACTCAAAGAATCTGAACTAGAAAGTTTAGAGAATCATATATTTGCAACACATTGCAAATCTGCCACATACGTTTACTGATGACAAGGTGTCACTAAATTATAAATTCCTGCATTAAAGTATCGAAAAGAGTGGAGGTACCTGATAAACTACTCTTCTCCCCAAATGAGAGCAATAGGGGGAGAAAATCTGATAAGACGAGATATAACTTCTCATATACTTCCGCGGAAACAGAGGAAATCGAATCCTCAACCAGTAAATGTAATTCAACATCAAGTTGAAAGACACCTCACTGGATGCTCATAATCCAAAGCCCGACATAAATGTGCACACATGTTTTGGTGCCGGGACATCGAAACACCTTGACTCCATTTGTTGAAGGAAATCACAAGGAGTTAAAATGGAACAAATATTTTATCCACAAACTTCAATGATTCCATCAGAATCATATAAACTAAAGACTACATTTGTCGACATATATTTCTTCTCAATATTGCTAAAACCTTTTGGGCCCTGAACCAAAATCCATGGTAGAGTGCCTCTTGCATTCATATTGGTTCACATAAAAGGAAGCAAGTAATGAAGAATAGCACTCGCTATGCAAACGAGTGGTATTTACTGCAGTAATACCTACTCCTCATAAGTATCTTCCGTGTGGAGTATTAAAAACTTCTCATTAATAAACAAAGTCAATGAGGTGGTGAGAAAGCGAGCCTTGTAGCAAAAGGGTTCACGCAGAGACCCGACATCGATTATGATGTAACATACCCTCTTGGTATGAGTGGAATTATGTTTCGATACTAAATATCATTGGCAATAAAAATATAATATTATCCATGCAGTTAATGGATGCAATGACTACATACTCATATGAGTCACTCATTTCGGAAATCTCTATTGAAGTCCCTGAAGGTCTTATACTTCCGAATCCAAAAGTAAATCGCAACAAGTTTTGCGTAATACTTCATAAGTCACTCTATGACTTGAAATAGTCGGAAATCATATGGTACTACCGACTAAATGAGTTCCTTCTTCAAAAGGATTACTCGAATAATGATGATTATTTACATGTTTAATAAAGGAATCCAAAATTTAATTTCCTTTCATCACCTCAATGTATATTGACGACCTGTCTATACAAGACCTAAACATGCACAAAATTATCACAAGACGGGAAATTTGGATTAAACCAAATTTAGCTTAAGTTTACAACTTGAGCATTCTCTCAAGAATACATATCAGTCTACATATATCCAAAACATATATGAGAAGTTCAATATGGATATATCATACCAACAAAAGGTATATGGTCCATATAAGAAATATTAGCTTATATCTCAAGCTCACAATAAGTCTTGGATATTTCCATCAGGAAATACAAGATATGACCATGATATAATATAATGATATTGGCTTTTTCTTTGATCCCAACAATGCCATATCAATAACTGAATTTGCGGGAATAGCCTTCATATGGAAGTCATCTAAATGGGTTTTAATGGCTATTTCTAGTTATCATTCTGACATAATTGCTTTATCTAAAAGCATTGCAAAATATGCATAGTTTAGCAGAATGATTAACCACACTCAAATCATATGGTTCAGATTCATCAGAATCACATAACTTGATTTATCAAGACGCTACCACTTGTGTTACTCAAAGATTACAGGTTATATGAAGAGCTATATCGTAAAGTACATTGCTCGAAAATTACTTATCCTCACGAATTATAGAAAGTGAGTAAACTATATGAAAACAACATACTTTGAAAACCCTACAGATTATTCATAATGTTATGATCATATAAATGGAATTTGTATTACACATTCTCCATGTTTGCAAAGTTCAGGGGGAGTAATTTCCCAAAATCTATAACCTATTAACAATCCTAAGATTGCATATATTGTACTCTTTTTCCCTTCATGAGTTTTCCCTAATGGTTTCTCATAAAGGTTTTTAACAAGACACTATAAACACAAGTGCCTGTATATGTCATACATTTTCTCCTTATATTTTTTCCCAGTGGGTTTTAAAGGAGTTTTCAATGGCATATCATATCACACTTTTTTCCCTTATGAGTTTTCTATCAAAGTTTCTCATAATGGGTTTTAATGAGGCAATATCTTATCAAAGATTATACGCCATACTTTCTATTTTCCCTATCGGGGTTTTTAAAGAAAGTACTCAAGATATATTAATTGTTCTCTAAACTCATCGATGATTTTTCACCTTCCTCAAAGGTTTTTCTCATCTGAGTTATCAAGAGACAATAATCATTATATGTTGCATCGTTTTCTCCTTATTATTTTTCCTACTGGGTTTAAAAGAGTTTTAGCAACATATCTGCACTATTCTCCTCATATTTTCCCCACAGGGTTTTTGGAGGAGACATTCAAGATTGTTCAAAGAATTTGTCAAGATGATGGATGTACCAAAGAAGAGGCGTTGTACAAGGGGGAGTGTTAAGAATATAATAGTTGCTTATTGATTAAGCTAATTAAGATTAAGTTAATTGTTAGATAGGTTGCTTGGTTCTCAAGTAACCATGTACTTCTTTGGCTCTCAAGGCAACTACGTAATTGCTTGGCTCTCAAGTAACTATGTGTTTACTTGACCGCCAAACACCATGTGTACTTCCGCCTGGGTATAGATAACCCACTTCTATCATCAATAAAGACTGATGGATTATCATTTGCTCCTCTCTCTCGTTTTACTTTCACAAAAAGATTAAAATACAGGTGCACGGAACCCTAGGCTTCATGTGCATTAAAAAAATCCAACCTTGATTCCACGCGCATCAACTGCTTCGGCCACCTGTAATAGATGAGATTAGCACAACATGTAGCCGAATCTTGTTTCCTTCTTGATTCCACGCGCATCAGTTGCATGCGAAGCTGCCATGCGGTGCGCGCATGAGACCACGGCGACGGCAGATCGATGCCATCGGGGAAAAAGGCCATGCGAGATTTCGCATCAAAATCAATGAGATCAGCGGAGTCAACATCCGATTAGTAGCAACCAGCGGTAGAGGCAGAGTTGGCAGCGGAATGGATCGTATGGCGGCGATTCCGGTTAGGGCAACCGCGATCGAACCTGCTCAAGATACCAATGTTGGAAATTGTGGATTATACGGTCTACCCTTTAATTCCTCTACCTTATCTGTGGTGCCGCTCACAATGCACATTGATGCTAGAGGGTAGGGACCTATTTATAGACTCCACTTCCAGATGTTTTATTATTCACCTGTTTCCGGAAAGATCCGTATGACTCCTGTGCAATGTTACCAACCACGATAAAACATGCCAGTTTTCTGAGTCTAAATATAGTAGTCCCTAGAACACATGTGTGAGTCATGTGCCATGATTAGATTGTAAATGCGAGATCAACTTTCAATCTTAATCATGTGGGTCAACAGCCTGCAGAGCCGATCCTGCAAAACAAACCCAGCTCTTCCACCATGTGATGTCCCGGAAAAAATACGTACGTACATATAAATTACAGTAGAGTTGATCCCTATTAATTCCTTTACTGTATTCCATCACAGTCGTCCTCGGCACCTCGAGTATTACTTCCTCGAGTGAAATTCCGCATCAGTTATTCCCCATCACAAACATTAATAATACAAGTAATTCCACATTGAGTTAAATAAATAATTACCATGTTGAATAAATGTTGAAAGCCACATACATATCCAACATACTGGACCACACACGCTTCTCTCGTCTTCTTTTTGCAACAACGGAGTTGTTGCAGAACCAAATGAAGTGAGCGACGATTGCGCAAGTGCGCGAGCGGCCGAAGATGTTGTAGCAATTTTTACAACATGGGCCTTGTTGCAGAATATTAGATGCGGCGGAGATGCCTTCACAACAACAATGGTCTTGTTGTAAAAAAATAGAGAAAAGAGGTTGTGCAACACAGGTCTTATTGCAGGAAATTAAAAAGAGGAGGTTTTGCAATATGGGTTTTGTTGCAAAAAATATAGAAAAGAAAAAGAGGAGGTTGTGCAACATGACTTTTGTTGCAGAAAATTAGAGACGAGGGGATTTTGCAACAAGGACCTTGTTGCAAAAATTAGAGAGAATGTTTTGTCACAAATATTTTTGTTGCAGAAATATAAAATTCCGCAACAAAAGTCTTATTGTGAAAATAAAAAAAGAACAATACGGACAGCTCCATCAACGAATTGGACGGCTCGCGAGGCGGCGGATCTTTTTACGCGTAGCACGCCCCTTTTGATAACCCACATCCCACAGAAATCAGGAAACATAATTCCATCTTGCAAAGTCTCAAACGAGACTGTAAAAAAAGATCCATGTTCCAAACTGATCATAAATCTTTTTCTTGGACAAATTATTGGTTATCCTCAAACAAGGGTGACGGTGAAACAAAAGCCGAAAATCGGAATTCTACAAGAACGGCGCTAACAGGATGTACAAGATTCACAGTTCAGATACATGAAAGCTCTGCCTGATCGCTCCAAACAAGTCAACAAACTCAAACAGTACAAGAAGAAGAGGAGGAAAAATGCCGTGGACAAAACTCAAAAAAACAAAAACCAAAAGTTGCCGATGAGGAAAAGAAAACTTGGCAACAATCTGTGCACAGATCCTATCTGGTGAAACTCCGCCGTCTCCCGGATACCGTATCTCCCAGCTTCTGCAATATCAAATTATGTACAAGGCAACACAACACAATGGAGTGGCCGGCAATGTGTTGATCACAGCTGCTCCGTCATCCATCGCTGCCACCCTCCAATGCCTAGTACATCTCCTGCCGTCTCAAGACTTTCTCTTCGTCATCGGTTCTCCTCACATCCTCCTCAACGTGCCTCAGTAGTTCTCCATTCAATCTTGTTGCCGACGTAGGAGACAACGGTGCGTAAAGGCCTACTTCACAATGAAACAATAGAGTCATGATCATGGATCAAAGCAAATCTGAATATATGACTGGAAAGGGTGGAAGTTCAGTCAGGGTTACATACTTCTCGATTGAGGGATCCTTTCGTAATCCTTGGTGACATGCAACAAAATGGTACCAGACAACACGACAATCAGGCCACATATTTCAGAAGTAATGCTTCCAAGGCTCTGACCAGACCAATCCTGCATTTTATCATTATGATACAGTAAGAAGTTCGGCTCATATGCTTTTTTTCACAAAATTTAATATGCCAACATAGTGGTGCTTAGCAGAGCATGACATTGTGTTGAAGGTTGCTCTCGGCATTACTAAACTGTTGCAGGATAGAGCTACGGAGTAAGCCAAAACTTATGCTAAGCTGTAGTCCCAGTAGCTTAGGATACTATATTTCAGGTGTGGACGAGATACAATGGCAACAAGTGTCTCCAAGTGGTGCCAATAATTACCTAATAAACAATTCACACCTTTTGTGGGATGAACGGCAGAACATAACAAAATTTTACCTTAAACATTATGATGCTTGCGAGTATTGTCAATGATGTAAACATCACATAATAAATTGGTGATACAACTGCCGTGTTAAATGTATCAAGTGCCTGCAAACAAGTAACAATTACTACACTGGAGGCTGCCAATACGGTAGAACTTGCAAATGAACATGGTTACAGAAGAGGCCATAACAATATAATACAGATATGAAATTAGAAATTAAGGCTGGTACAGAATTCTTAAGAAAAACATGTTTAAGTAGGTTCCTACATGCACAAACAATATACCCCTAAGCAATTATCATAATCCTCCGATTCTTCTCTTTTGATATCTATGGTTGCTGAGAAGAATGACAAAATGAACATACGGAGCAATTATTTGAATACAGTATGAAACTCCCTAGTCATTATCCTAATGAACAAATATATTGGCATAACTTGAGCTGAAGAGCAACAACACTTTGAACTTATCATGAAAGAAGTTAAAATATAGTGCGGTTATCTCTATTGCTTCAGGGATAGTTCAAGCATTCAAATTTGATGTTCATATTCCCAGTTCTGCAAAACATGTTGCTTTGAACATACAACAGAGTTCTGAAACTTTGACTGCCGATGATCTTCTAAAATATGTTGATGGGGCATGAAAATAATATGAGTAGATTTGTTTTGCAAGGTACTAGCATAATAATAGTATATCATAATAATGTCGGGTTGTATTAATATACTGCAATAAAAGTTAGTGGTCGAAATTGACTTTTGGAGACACTTTCGATGTCCAAAGCAAGTTGTAAAGAACTGGAGGGGGTACTAATGAATCAATCTTCGAAAAGCTGTTGCTTCATGGCATTTAGCATAAGGATACAAATTATAATTAATTGATTACTGAATATACATAGTGCACTCAAACAAACCTTGTTGAGGTAATTCATCTGTGTCAGCACACAAATAGCCACGACAAGCATAAAGAACCACGTCTCAGGATATGCTAACTGATTCGTCCCCTCAAAAGTCAACTTTAAGGATGTACCAAGAGCTTTAACACTCATAACCTGCGTAAGGAGAACGGGTCAGAACCTTCGACACGAAGGTTAAAATAAAAACTCGGTGATCGCATATAAACTGTTATACATCAGAAACTGGTGTTAAAAGCGAGCTACATTACCGAAAGAGAACCCATCAAAGAGCAAATGGCGGTGTAGATCAACACGTTCGACTGCCCCCATAGAGGAGAGAAATGGAACACCAGCACAGAGACCAGGACTATAACCGAAGCAACATATAGCAAGAAAGCTGCAGAGGAGCATGAAGAAAACAATACATTTTAGATCGCACTTCCTAAAACATGGCACCCATGATAACAAGTTAACAACTCTCACATGGTTGCGTTGCCATGTGCCATATCTCCTTGACCGACGTGATCTCCTGCTCCAGCGGCGCGTGGATGACGATCACCATCGACCCCGCGATGCACATCACGCAGCCGAGGACCCCCAGCGCGTGCAGCCTCTCGTTCAGGATGAAATGGGCCAGCACTGCACTGGACAAGGAAGAACACCAGCAGAACAAACACACCTTCAGCGTCACATATGAATCTCAGGATTGCAGATTAAAACCACGGCTTGTGGTGTCTGTGGTGCACACCTGACGATTATGCTCAGTGCTCCCAGAGGAGTAACCAGCACCGCGGGGGCGAAGGCGTAGGCCACGAAATTGGCGATCTCTCCCACGATCACTGAGAAGAGAAGAAGATATAATTTGGTTTGACCAAGCTAAGAATTGAGCTCGGTTTGGACGTTTGGTACACTAGGACTTGTAGAAAGGGAGCTTACTGGTGATCATGCCAACCCACCACAGGGGCTCCAGCAGGTAGGAGTGCCCACCCACCCCTGCACAGGAGGCAAAAAAGGGAAAAAACAGAGGACATTTTCAGAGGACTGAAAAAACTCTGAAGAAAGAAAGAGACGGCGTCGAGAGGGAGGGAGGGAGGGACGGACCGGCGCTGATGCCGGAGGAGACGGCGGCGCGGCGGAGGCCCTTCTTCTTGATGATGAAGCTGGAGCCGATGAAGCCGCTGGAGAGGAGCGCGAGCACTATCCCGCGCACGTTGTCCGCCGACAGCTCCTGCGGCCCGCCTCCGCCTCCTCCGCCCCCCATCCCTCCCTCCATGACCGCGATCGCGAGCTCCTCAGATTGGTTCCGGCGCGGCCGGCGGCCGGATCGGATGGGCCCGACACCGCGCAGCTCCTTCTCCTCCTCCTGTACAGTGACCTCGACGGGCGGGGGATGGGAATGGGATGCGGGTTCTCGGACGGCTCCGGCGCGTAGGATTTTGTTTCCTGCGTGCGGGTTCTTGGATGAGGGGGCGGAGCTGATTGGCCAGTGGCACAGGACAGGGTGGAGGCCGACGGGATGGGACGGACGGACTTGGAAACGAGACGAAACGAGACTTGTATTTGACGTGTGAATGTGAATTTTATCTTAGATGGAGTTTCCTTCATCATTAGTGAAACGGATCAATCGGATGATAGTGTTCTTCTCCTTCCTCACACAAACTATGTTAGGGCATCTCTAATGTTGACCCCTGAAATGGACATTGTATTTTGTCCGCGGACTGATCTGGACCAGCTCGCGGACACTGATGCGGGGACGGCCATCCAACTCTGACACTCAAAATAGTTACAGAAAATAACACAATTCATCCATAAGTAACATGCAAATATCCCTGGTACAACAATAGTTCAAATGTAAATATTACAACCGAGATAACAAGATATTGAACAGGTTTTTCGTATTCATTGATTCCAAATTCAACGATACTAGAGTCAGAACCGGCACATGTTATCCCACACATAGTTCCACTTGAGCTTCCTCAACAATGTAAAAGCATAAAATGGTCTGCCCTCGGTCCTATGGTACAACATGATATTGCGTCCAGACTATACAACATGATGATTATCAAGTTGCAACATTGAGTGAGTCAATGAATTGACCAACATGCAAAGCAACAAGAAGCAAAACTTACTATCTCCATGGTCGAGGGGCTTGATGGCCACATTGTCTTCACTTGTGCAATTGCACCACAAAACTTCATATGGCATTGGAGATGGTGCACCACCAATGCGTTAGCGACTCGCATTGCGTTCATGGATGGCGTGCATGTCGTAGGGCGTGAAGTTCTTTTGCTCATGAAATGAAACATGCATGTTTTGCCAAAAGGCCGAGCCCTCTTGCCTCATGCCTACAAAGTCCGCAGATACGGCCAACCACGGCTCGCACAACAACTCATTCTCAATCACCGAGTCCCCCACCATCGTGTTTACCCTAGAAAACAACAAGAAGTTCAACAACAAAAAAACTCAATAACATTTAACCGAACACATGACGAGCGTGGTGTCCACCATGGACGGTGTCGTCAAGGGAGCGGAGGGTACCTGGTTGCAGAAGGATCCTAGGTGGACGGCAACGTAGTCCAAGGCGGGCAGGCGCATGGGTGGGGGTTGCATATGTCTGAGGATGGCTGGGTGGCGAACGAAGAGGTACAAAGGTGGCGCGGACGAGGAAGGTGTGGATGAAAGCAAGGGAGAGCAGGGAAGAGTGCAAGAAAAGCGAACCAGAAGGAGGATTTAAGTAGGCAAGGGGTGTCAGAGTCGTGAGTTAATTGCACAGAAGTACCACAATTCAGGCATCACATGCAGATTGGTACCACGATTGCTAATTTTTGCGTGTCAGTACCAACATTGGTCCAAATTTTTGCAAATTGGACTAAAACGCGTATTTATACGTATTGACGCCCGATCCGACAGGTCGGGCCCACCCGTCAGGTGCCACGCTGGCCAATCGGCGCGTGCCCGCGTGCTGACTAGGACGAGCCGGTGCGCTGCTGTCCTAACCGGCCCGGTCGCACCAGCTCCAGCCCGGCCGCACCATTCCCCTCCCCCTCCTCCTCCTCGCTCGTTTCCTCCATCGCCGCCGACCGCGTCCCGACAGCCGGCCGGCCGCCGCACCGCCCCGCGTCGCCATGGTTTTGGAGGACGAAAGCAGCGACGACCATTCTAGCCCCCCGTACATGCATTCTTCCTCCACAGACGGTCTCAACGAGGTCAGTACAGGGTTAGGGTTAGGGTTTCATATTTGGGATTTCTTGATTTGGTTGATTTCGCTAGGTTTTGATTTGGCCATTGTCTTTGTGCGAGCTTCTGCAGGTTCCTTTCACCATTGAAGATCCAGATTACAAGGGGCTTGAGCTGGATGTGATGTCTCCACGTGAGAAGCACGGCATGGCATCTGAGAGGCTTGTTGCCTTTGAAGGAACAGACACAGGCAGGAGGTTTTTAGCATGTGCACAGCCGGTATGTATTGTAGGATTGTAGGCATACATATTTTTTTTCTTACTTGGTCAGTGCCATATTGAACTCTGTTTGCTGGAGTACTCTGCTTGGTGTCAACATTTTGATTCATAGTGGTTAGAGTAGCTTATTTAGGTCAAGCATGAGTATATTTTGCATTAGAACAATGGCTGAACCTAGTCAGTCAGCTACTCAAGTGGTTGCTCCTCTTGTTAAATTTAGTGGTTTGATGCTAAATTTAGACATTCTTTTTGGCAACTGCAGTGATTTTGTGTAATTACTTGCTGTATGAACTGTTTTGTTGTTGTTATTGTTTTTGCAGGAAGGTAGCAATTGTGGCTTTGTTGAATGGGTTGATCACCAGTGGCCCCCAACAATGCAGAATGCATTGTTGAAGCTATGGGCAATGGTTGAAGATGCCAAAAGTGCTAGGGTGAATGACAATCTTGAGAATTCTTTCACTATCCACCATCTGACAGAAGAGAAGAACAAGCTGGAGGCCAACTATGACAAGCTAGTCCAAGATGTGCATGAGCTGATGAACTTCCAGGAAGATAAGGTGGTGGATTTCAGGCATCTGCAGTCTGCCATTACATATCAGCAGGAGGTAAGAAAAGAACTGACTGATGATATGAAGGCAAAGATGGCAAAGAAAGATGCAGAGACCCAGCAACTTACTCAGAAGTATGAGGTGCTGCTCAACCTGACAAGAGCTCAAGCAACAGTCATTCAGAACTTGAAGTTGAACAAAATGAAAGAGAAGCAAGTGCTTACTGAAGCTAGTATGAATTTGGAGCTGAAGAATGCAGAGCTAACTAAGTGTCAGGAGAAGCTCACCCAAGAGAAGCTAGAGTTGAAGCTTCAGGTTGCTGATCTGCTTAAGGGAAATAAAAAGCATATTGAAGAGAAGTGGCAGTTAGAGTTTCAGAATGAAAAGTTGAAGGAGAAGTTCAGGGGGATTCAAGCCATCTTGGAGAAGTGAAGAAGATGAAATGAGATTAGTGGCATTGCTGACCTTTTGGGAATGATGGTTGTGTAATGACCTAGCATCTAGGAACTAATGTTGTGTACTGTATGCTTGTACTAATGGTGAACTATGGCTGTGTATGTATGTAGTAGTTATGCTATTCATCCTTTTGTGAGAAAAGGATGAACTATGCATTTGAAGTGGAACTCCTCTATGTATTGTGAACAATGGTTATGTATTGCTATGTATGGATCAGTTTCTTATTATGTATGGTTATGTATTGCTATGGTTATGCTGATTATGTAGATTGTACATTATGACAATGTTGCAGCAAACCAGACAGTACATTGCAATAAAAGAGGAACAAGACTCACTAAATCTCATTGCATCAGAAGATAACTTCACTGATCCATTACAACTTGATCCATTACAACTTGATCCATTACAACTTGATCCATTACAACTTGGCTACAACTGAAGCAACTAACTAACTTAATATCTTGCCTGCAACTAAGCCAAGCACAAATATAGTGAAAAGAAACAACACATTGTGAAATTTGGCCCTAATCCCTGCAATCTCTGCATTCTTCTCTCTGAGTTGAGTTTGCAGAGACAGAAACATGGCCTCCCTTGTGCCATCATCTTCACTTGGAGTCAGGATTGGAAATTGATCTTCAGATCTAGCAACAGTTGCACCTTTAAGCCTCCATACTTCATCACGCAGATCCCCAATGAGCTCACTCCAGAATGTGGGCAATGGATCATCATGCCATTGCACAAATCCACAGCCACCGTGCTATTAAGATACACAAGCAAATTCACCATGCTGCCAAAAATTATTGCACAGAAGAAAGAGGAAGAAAATTAGGGAAAAAATAGCACTCACCATAGCATCCACGCAGCTGTAGTACCTCCTACCAGGGTTCTGCCTGCTCCAGGAGATCCATCTTGGCGCCTTCCTCGGAGTTGAACAGTGGCACATCACCGGAGGCTCGTATGCCATTGGGTTCTCGCGGTAGCGCATCGGCGAGCGCGACTCCTCCCCCCTCCTTCCTGCAGCTCGACGAAATCCGGGAGCGGACCCGGCACTGGACGACCACGACATCTCTCCGCCGCCGGCCCCAGTCAGCGCCTCGCCTCTGAGATTTGTCCTTGGCTGCGCGGATGAACCCTAGTTTCGTCCCCACACTCCTGTGAGATCTTGTGCTGTCACACTTTAATAGTAGGAAAGGTGGATGGCCCACATGTCAGAATCCCCAAATGTGGTACTGCATGTTATGTGATGCCCCAATATTGGTACTGACATGCAACAGCTAGCAGCAGAATTGGTACTGATTTGTCACAATAATCTGCAAATGTGGTACTGATTTGTCACAATCAACTCTCATTACCAGCATCCAGTAGCAAGTTCAGATAACCAACTAAAGTTCAACATTCAGATAATCACCTAAAGTTCAACCACATATCCATCCAGTTCAACATTACAAGCATCAAGTTCAACATTACTAGAGTACTCCACCAGTACTCCACCTCAAGCATCAAGTTTAACCAAAATAACACCACAATATTTGACATTACATGGCTCCTCCACCTCCCATGCTAGCAGTGAAGTAGGACATCCATCCAGTGTGTGTGCCATCAGTAGGAATGTCAGCATATTGCCTTGGGGCAATGAATGGCATTGGAGCACCTCTTCCAGCTCTTCCTCTGCCTCTGCCAGCTCCTCTTCCAGATGGTGGTGGTGTAGTAGAAGTAGCAGCTCCTCTTCCTCTGCCAGCTCCTCTTCCTCTGCCAGATGGTGGTGTTGTAGTAGAAGTAGCACCAGCTCCTCTGCCAGCTCCTCTTCTTCCAGATGATGGTGGTGTAGGAGCAGAAGCAGCAGGTCTTGGTTGTCTTGCTGTTGGTGCAGTAGAAGGACCAGCAGCTCTTGGCTGTGAGGTACTTGGATTAGCCTTGCAAAGAAAAGGAAACAGTTAATAATGCTAGAAAGAAATGTACAAGAAAGAAAACATTAGTATATTTGAAGGTGAAAAATTATTACCACATGCTTATTCTTCCTCAAAGCTAGCTCAGGCTTCAACTGTTTAAGACAGTTTGTGTACCTATGCCCTTGGAGACCACAATTGCCACATGTTATGGTCCCCATTCTTGAAGTTTCTTTTGGCTTTGGTACTTCAAATTTGCCCTTGATCCTCTTTTCTTTCCTTCTTCCTCTCTTGATTTTGAATGCAGGTGGTTCTATGTCTGGACCAGGGGTCCTTGTCCAATCATGCTCACCAGGCACGGGAAAGATCATTGGTTCATAAGCTGCAGCATAAAAATCTTTCTTGAAGAATTTGCTGACATAATCCTCTGGTTTCCTTTTAGCCTTGTTTATTGCAGAGATGGCATGGTTGCAAGGTATGCCACTAAGGTCCCACTTCCTGCATCCACAAGTCTCAAGTTCCAGGTTGACAGCATGTGTTTGCTGCCCACTTGTAACTTGCCATAAGTTGACCCCTGCCTGTATTGGCTTGCAGTATCTGGCCCTCTCCTTCTCAATCTCTAGCTTCTCACTGTAATGAGGTGTTATCTCCCATCTTGCTTCCTTTACACTCTCTCTCTTCATGTGCCACCTCACCATCTGCTTATCTTTTATCCCATCACACATTGTCCTTATAGGTTTTCTCCTAACATCTAGAATGTACTTGTTGAACACCTCTGACAAGTTGTTCACTACCAAGTCAGTCTTGCAGTTTGTGTCAAATGCATGCCTTGCCCATGTTTTTTTTGGTATTGCAGTAAGCCACTCCCAAGCTTCCTCACTTTCAGCTCTAAGATCATTCATTGCAATATTAAATTTGTGTTCATTGTAGGCATAGCTAGCATTATCCATGCACTTCTTAAGATCTTCACCCCTAAACCCAGCATTTTGGAAATTTGCATATAAATGTCTAAGGCGGAATCTTTGGTTGCAACTTGGAAACACAGTATTCACTGCATTCAATAACCCCTGACACAAACAATTTAACAAGTCTAAACTACAAACAATTTGAAAATCTAAGCTAATGCAAACACTTGTTCAAAGCAGAATGAAATATGCAAACACATACCTTTTGTCTATCTGACATTATAGTATAAGTTCCAAACTTGCCCACTTCTCCCCCTAGGCAAATTTTCAGTTGGTGTAGAAACCAACACCAACTAAGTGTGTCCTCTTGACCAACTATGCCAAATGCCAATGGATATATGTTGTTGTTGCCATCTCTACCAGTGGCAGCAAGTAGTTGAGCACCTGTAGTGAGCTTAATGAAGCATCCATCAACACCTGCATAATCAACATTTCCAAGTGAGATACAATATGGAGTACTCTACAATATGTAAATGGTTCACACAAGGTTCAAGAACTAACCAATGAAAGGCCTACACCCATTGAGAAACCCCTCCCTTGCTCCATTAAGGCAAAAAAACATGGCATGGAATCTTGGGCCTGGGTGGGGTATTTTTGCATTAGGTACTGGAGTAACAGTAGTGACTATTACTCTACTCCCAGGGTTTGTGTCCATGACAGTCTGAGCATAGTCTTTAAGCCTAGGATATTGCTTCCTGTGATCTCCTAACACAGCATCAATAGCTATGTTCTTTGCCCTATATGCCATGCACTTGGGCACATCTACACCATATTTTTCATTGCATGCATCAATTATAGTCTGAATACCAGTAGTTATATCAGATCTAAAGAGATGCTCATATTTCTGTGCTAGCCACTTAGCACTAACCCTGGTGGTCTCAGTGGTACTAGGGCAAGTGTGCTCTAGTCTCATCTTCTTAATTACAAATGTTTTCTCCCCTTTTATAACTGCTGCCACCATTAAGAACTGGCATTTTTTATCTGTACACTCAACAATTATCCTCTGATCTGAATTCCTGTGATACTTGAAATTCCTGGCCTGGGTGATGTGCAAATTCAATAAAGCTTCTCTGAATTGATGCTGATCCCTAAAACACAACTTCATACACAGTTGCTCATGTGGTTGCTCCATTTTCTCATTGTACCACTTCCTAGGAGGCCTTTTCTTTGCCCTACTCTTCCTTTTCTTTTGTAGGACAAAAGAGAGTGGCTGAAAACCATCATCATCACTCTCCCTCAACAACCCCTCCTCTTCTTCATCTGATGATGGTCTGAAATCAGGTTCAACCTCTGGTAGCTCACTACAATGTGACCTAGTGGTTGGGCCTCTTCTAACTGGCAGCTTCTGCTTCTTCTTTATAGGTTCAACTATAGTTTCTTCTTCTTGTTCAAAAGTCCTATCTTCCTCTACCTCAAATGGGTCCTCAACTTCAGTGTCACCCTCATAATGCAGCATTTCTTCCTCTTCTGATTGATCATCATCTGATTCTTCCTCTTGTACTTCTAGCTCTCTCTGCCTCTTTCCCTCTTCCACCTCTACATCTTCTTCATCAACCATGTAATTAGGGTAACTTCCAATTTGACCATCCTCATCAGAGGAATCACTGTCCTCATAAGCCTCAAATCCTTGACATCCCTCTTCTTCTTCTTCCAAAACTGCTTTCAACTTGTTAGTTGCATTTCTGCTTTCTTGTGTGCAAACACCAGCAGGAGCAACAGGGTGATGTGTGCTACATTGACTCTCAAAGACTACTCCTTCCTGATCAACAGCTAAGATAGGAGGCTCACTCAGATCATAAACAACAGGCTCTTGGTACACCACAGTGGACAAGTCTGGCTTTTCAAAATACTGCCTCTCAAAATCAGTATCAGGGGGTGGACAAGCCTTGACTAGCAAATTAAGCACCAATTTGTCCTGGATCTTCCTCTTTATCATCTGTAATTCTGCATGACTGTCTACCAAATCCAGCCCTTTCTCTCCTAAAGATGGATTTTCAATGTGAAACAAACAATCATATGCATTAAATCCTTGGGTTTCCATCACTGCAACCAAATTCAGATAAGTAATATCTGAACCACACAGCTTCATCTCCAATGGTTCTCTTGCATCAAAATGGATCCTTACTTGCCAAATGTCTTCATCCAAACTACAGAAAAAATTAAATTTCATTTATTCATTATAATTACTCTTAATTTGGAGAGCAACAGTACAGTACATTACAATTTAAAGTAACATGTAAGTCTATTATTTACTAATTTAGCACAAAAGCAAATTTTGGAGAGCAACACTAAAGTACAAAACAGCTTAAATTACAGTACCAGACAGTACAGAACAATTTGGAGAGCCACAGTAATTGAACTAAATTGAGAGTGCAATACACTATGTTACTAGGTTAGTCTAGTCACTTCAATTGGATAAAACCTAATCCCCAACTAGATAAAGCAGAAGATGAACAAACCCTAAAAATGCCCAATTGGATGAATCAGAGGAGTAGGACAAGGGTACTTACAACACGCCGCCAAGTCCATGCGTCAACTCATGGCTGCTGCTAGGGTTCGCCACCCACTGATGCGCCAACCGCAACCGCTGCTCCATGGTGAGTAACATCGACTCCTCGTCGTCGGTCGAGTACGCGGAGCTGGACTCGTCGCCGCCATCCCCGTCGACGCCAACCGTTCCGCTAGGAGGCCAGAACGGCATCTCTCCGACGCCGTGGACGCCCTCGCCGCCGACTGGCGGAATCGCCGACGCCATGGACTAGGGTTCGAGCGAGGAGGAGGAGGGAGAGGGGAATGGTGCGGCCGGGCTGGAGCTGGTGCGACCGGGCCGGTTAGGACAGCAGCGCACCGGCTCGTCCTAGTCAGCACGGGGGCACGCGCCGATTGGCCAGCGTGGGACCTGACGGGTGGGCCCGACCTGTCGGATCGGGCGTCAATACGTATAAATACGCGTTTTAGTCCAATTTGCAAAAATTTGGACCAATGTTGGTACTGACACGCAAAAATTAGCAATCGTGGTACCAATCTGCATGTGATGCCTGAATTGTGGTACTTCTGTGCAATTAACTCCAGAGTCGTACACCAGTTTGCGGGAAAACAAATAGCAGGTCACATTGGCAGGACTGCGTTGGATGACAAATTGTGTTCGGACAGCTCGGCCGATTGTGGTAGATTTGAGGGTCAGCTTTGGAGATGTGAGATGCCCTTATGCGCCTGATTTGTGAACTTTTATTACACATTCCCATGTAGTTGTACAGTCCATTTGGTATTTATCTTTTCTTCTATACATACTCTTGCGTTCTTGGAACCTTCAAACCTTATATACTCTTGCATTCTTGGAACCTTCAAACCTTACATAGTTACATAGGGCCCCAAATTTGCAACAACCATGAAAAGCTTTTAATGCTTGGACTAGTGTAGTAGTTCTGATAACTGAATGCCAAAAGTTTCAAAGAAAATATTCCCGTTGTCCCATAATGTAAGACAATTTCTGACGTTCTACATCATAGCACGTAGACAATACAAAATTGAGAAAAGAAAGATCCGAAAGAAAGAAAAAAGGAGTACAAACAAGAACGTTTACCACCACTCTCATATTATATCAACCAGTCATCTCAAGAGCTAGACCCGTCATCAGACAAGGACCGGAATTCAATCACAACACGGCATAAAACTGTGGCGGCAGCAGCAGAGTACCACATCATGCCGCGACATTTGTCAATCAGTTGAAATGTATATATCCAAAGAGCTGCCTATAAATAACGAAATGGGCTAAGCGTTCATTCTACAACCACACTCCCAGGCACGCGGCAGGCTAGCAGGGATGTCAATCAGCTTGAACAATGAAGATGTCACGGTGACAGCGTAAGTCGAGCATGGAGCACTTGATCTGATCTGCGCGGCTCTATTGAACTGTCATTCTTCTGCTCGGGCAGCTGCTCGTCGCGTACATCATTGACGCAGCATGTCTCGCAGCTGAAGCACCTGCTGACGTTGCTCCGGGGGCAGCACGTTGATCTGCTCGGGCGACATGCTCATGACTTGCTGTACTAGCATCTTTTCCATGTCGGCTGTCAACTGCTCAAATAAATAACACGTGAGTGGTTCAATTTTTAGGAAAAGGGGTAAAACATAGCACACATGACCACTTGTTCTAAAATGCAGTTGCAGGGACACTTACAGGTGCTTCTGGGCGGGCCTGGATGCCGCCAATCCCTTGGGTCATCTGTCCAGGTAGACCTTGGAATTGTCCAGGGAAATGGGATCCGGCCGACGATGCTTCTTGGTTGCCACGCCCCCATGGAGCTGATCTATCGACTTGCATACTTTGGGAATTGTAGTGCGAGGTCACATGTGAATTAGCCTGTTAAACAGACAAATTACAAGAGTTAACTGTTGATTGTTGAGTCCATGATCGACACATCACAGATAAGGTGGGACTGTTAGAATCTGGCGAACAACAATAATCTCGTATCTAAGAAGTGATGTGTGGTTTGCATAGACCAAATTTTAGGTTGTGCTTGATGTCCTTAAGACTAAATTTCAGGTTGTGCTTGATGTCCAAAAAGTCAGCAATAATCTGGCGATCCATAAGTCAACAAAACCCAAGACATGAATTAAACCTCAAACTGGCTTGTTAAGGGTTTCCTATTCAATCTTTGCAAGAGAACATGGAATGACCAGCTTGCGGAGGAGTTTATGCGCGAAAAATGTTGAAGAGATGCTTAAAACTGTCCATGGATTAGATATTATATATGAGCCCTCAATTTTTGTGATGTCCTAACAAGAATAACTAGAATATGCGGTCCTTGCTGAGAAAACAAAAACATTTTAAGCATGCTATATTTGGCATTTGGTTCAACTGTCCGAGCAAGAACCCTATGAGCAGTTACAAATAATGAAAGGGAGAATAAATAATGACATAGTGGTAAAGAATTTGGAGCACAGCAGCAAGAAAAAATAGTAATGTTTGAACTGCATGTGCACTGATTTTTTTTATAATGTCAAGTGTCAATCAGATCAGAACAACGAAAAGAACTGTAGAACCTAGCCAAGTAAAACATGTAGAAGGCAATGCTAACTGTCATGTAGGCCAACATGTGTGAAATATTAGTCTATTGGATTATACATGATAAGAATCAGTTCACCCGCTACTTCATAATGCTGATAATATGTCATCTAATACAGATAATTTAACAGCAGTCAGGACTACTACCCTATGATAGCAAGAGGTTAGTTAACAATTACTCATTGCATGCATGGTTCTTCGAGATCTAAAACTCCTGAGATAATAGCAGATCAACAATACTCCATCATTTCATTTACATCCTAAAACTGATTTTGCATAGCAAATGGTGCGGAAAGGCAGAAACATTCAGGAATATACTTGCAATTTTCTTTACACGAGGAAAAAGCCAACTTCAAGACAGCATAATCAAATTAACCATATCGATATCACACCTGGTATAGCTGTGGTGGTGGCTGATTCGGCAATGGTGGTGGCTGGTTGGGTAATTGCTGCTGTTGTTGACCTGTAAAGAAAGAATTTTGTGGATTCCCGCCTGGCTGAGAAATTCCAAATATCATGGTTAGTTTGCAGACGAGTATCTAGTTATTAGGACCACATAAATTTAGTATAGAACCTTACATGAAACATTGGTTGTTGCAACATGTGCTGACCATATGAATTGGGTATTTGCTGATGCATCTGATGTGTATATGCCTGCATGGAAGGTGGCCTGGGCAACTGGGGCAGGGGTGGCTGTAATTGCTGGTTAAACATTCCAGGATTTTGCAATGGTTGCTGTGGTTGACTGTTCACTGTTGGCATATGAGATGGAACATTTGAATACTGTGGAGGAGCATGAGGAGGCATGGTAGCATTTGGATACTGAGATGACTGTGGTGCTGATGCAGAATGCATCTGATGAATAGGGTATCCTTTTGATTGTGGTGGATTTGCTGGCATGGGTGGAAGGTCCAAAGATGATGTCAGATTAGAAGTGCCCGATGGAAATTGGCCAGAAGGTTTCAAATTCTGTTGATTGGTAGGCACGGGAGGCTGGGGCAAGTTAACATGATCTTGTACTGTAGCTTTAACTGATGCAGGAGGAGTTGTCTGAGCAACTGCTGGCTGGGGCATGTCCGAAGATTGTGCCTGTGGAACAACAAGCATTTGATGACAAAAAAGATTCAATTTCAACATTAATAATCCAAATATTAAACGTCAAAGAACTTATGTTACATACAGCTTTAGGTGTTTTGACCATTCCGAGAACCACTTGGGCCTGCAAGGAGAAAAAAAATACTATATGAGAAATTCATCCAGCACAAATGCATGTAACAGATTCCATCACTGTGAGCAAAACAATCAAGTTGAAACTTGAAAGTTCACATATGTAGGCAGATACCACAACAAATAATCCTATATTGACTGCAAGATAACAAGGCAAGTTTGCCATGAGAACAAAAGCAAAAACATTAATGATGCATATTCGAATGCTTATAACAATTGAACAAACCATTGGAAACAGGCGTATTAGAACAAGTGGTGGATTCGGTTTTAGTCTTTTATACAAGTTTGCTAGAAAAACATAAGCGTGTGACACACATTCTTCTTCTTCGTCCATTTTCTTTCCATACAGAAACAACAGGTGTGAACGCCCTCTGGTGACACTATCAACATTAACACGACTATACAGCATGTTCTTATGGCTGGATTTTCCATCAAAATCATGTACAGAGCAACCTATAATGTTTTTACAACATAAATGGCCCTCGATTTCCACTCCCTATGCAAACATGAGCCAGGTTTAACCGGGGTAGCCAGCAATTCACACCAGATGCTCAGAGACTACCATTTGTGACAGGCATGGGGTTTTATCCTACCCCTTCCTGCATAGACACACGGAATCTGTACCGGGAAACCCACAAACCCTAGCAAGCAGCGCAGGCCGCGAGAGGACTCACCCGGAAGAGCGCGCGGGTGACGTCGGGGTTCTCGACGAGCATTCGGCGCACCCTCTCCTGGTCGTGGTCGAGCATGGCCTGCGGGACGAGGCGAAACGGGTGAGGACGCCGGGAGGGGGAGGTCGTAGGGTTTGGGGATTGGGGGGCGCACCTTCATCTGGGACATGAGGTCGTACATCTCGGGGCGGGACATGCCGGAGA